AAACAAACCCAAAAAAACACGCAAAAACTGTAGCAAGAGCTAATTCAGTATTCTCTCTTACCATTAGCTGTAAGAGAACAGTTATTATACCGTCATGGAAGATGTTATAAAAAAATATTTTCAAAATTCTCCTTATTAGAGAAGGTACATCATTCTTTATGCTTCCTAATCACAAAATGCACATACTGTTTCACTGTATGATCAGTTTTAAATGGCTTTCAGACAGAAAAGTAAGCGTATATAAATTCTTGAAATCTATGTCTTGTTTATACTAAGCAGTGGATTCCTACAGTTAGTTATAAATCAGAATTTTAAAAAAATCCTTGCTTAGTCAGCATTTAAGTGTAGTGAAAATGTGTGTATCAGAAGAGCTAATTTTAGCTAACAAGGAATTAACGTGGAGAGACCTAGAGCTATTAACGTGGTGCTGACCTTGAGTCCCATGATGTAAGCAAAGGGCTGGCAAATAAGCTAGGTTGAAGTGTGACAAAATGAGAATATATTCGATAGTTTCAGGGGAATGCATCATTGTACTTGTTCGGAGTTAATTAAAAACATAAGCCCAGGTTAGTGATGGGGTTATCTTTTCTACGTTGTCTTTCCAACTCAGTATTTAATTACACATGAAACGTATTTACTATTAAATGGATCTTTTTCTTTTCTCCTACAACAGAGAGGTAAATAAGATGAACCAGTCCTAATCTACAAAAGGAAGGATTTTTTCTGAACAAATTCTAAGGCCTGAAATACAGCCCTTACTGTAATGAATACTGACTTCAGTGCAAAAGCCGCTTTAAGTCTTTACAAAATTAGATTTTTCCCCTTATATGTTTTTCAACTACATTAACACAAATTACTTTTGGGGGTGCTTTTTTTTATGAGTGTGGTTGATTTTTCTTTAAATTATGCAGAGACAGAGCTTTATACCGAAACTATGCAAATATTATTAATTGTTTCACGATCAGACTTCTTGCACACACATATGATCAGATTTAAAGTTTAAAAAAATACCAAGGAACACTGGAAAAAGAAAGACAATTTAAAATAGTTATTTAATATTCTAACACTTCAGAAATTTATTCTGATGCTCAGACGTACTGTATTTTATCCCAGGAAGCATACCTTGATTCAGCAGGCGTAAGGAAAACTTGTTTTCTCTGGGGCAGTCTTACTGATTGTTACCTCATTTTAGCAGGATGGTAACAAATATTCAAAATACAGAGCTGAAACAGCTTTAAATCATACCGTGATATCCGAAACCCCTCTGAAATCAATAGTAAAACCGAGCTAAGGTTTCCTCTCCGGTTAACTCATTATCACAGAACTCACGTATGATATCTGTACCAACACCTCAGCCTTTCCTACTGCCATGCATCATATTTCAAAACATAATTCCTCAAAGGATCAACTATACTATAATTACATTCCTTTTAAAATATAAGTATGCGTGCACCATTATCATCTTTTAGTAGTTTTCAGTAAAATATAACAGCATACTCCCTGTGATTTTAGATTACCTTCAGTACCTCTCCAGTTCTTTCTGACTTCAAATATCTTTATTCCTGTTCCCAAAACTAGATTTGGGCCAAAGGAAACCTGTAAAAGTTCTAACTGAGCTTGTTTGAAGAGTCCAAGTCTCCAGTTGGATCGTGATAACAGAATTATATTTGGGGAAAAGGAAACTGCAATTCTATTTGAAATACATTTGTTCAGTTCTGCACTGGAGACTGAAAACAAGACATGTTAAGGTTTAGAACTAACCTCAAACCAGAGGCTTGTTTAGAACAAACTCAGACTAGAACTAGAGATGTAAAGGCAGGTTGGCTGAAAAGTTTCAAATATGATTCCTCCTGCTAGCATTCAACATATTTTATTTCAGTGTACTAGAAGCAGATTTTAGGTAACTTAAGTGCTTGGCAACAGGCAGCTTTAAACATCCAACATACTTAAACTATCCTGCCCGATTTATCTTTTTTTGGCATGCTCGTCGTATTCAGTGTTCCAGTTTCTGTATGTCTTTAAGTGTGAGACAATACTAATGAGGTTAAACAGCAATGATTGATTTTCAGTGAGTCTGCTTTAAAGCTGCTCCCAAACTGACTCATCCTTGCAAAGTTCTTCTGTTGCTTCCACACAACCTAGTTTTTTCCCCTGTATTTTCATTTTTCAGCAAAATTTTTTTTAATCGCATGCTCTGCTCAAAATGAATGCTACAAGAAACCTCGCAGTCATCAGAAAAAAAGAGCCCTCCAAGACGTCTGAGTCACTTAAAACTACTGCTTTTCATGCCGCCAGTAAGAACACTGAGGTGAAGAGAACACCTTACGTCACACTCAGTCACTGCTGTGAACTTTTGCTACTGTGAGTACAATGCCACATAATCCCTTTGACGCATTTTGTAAACTTCATCTTAAAATATGACGGTTTTCCCCATTACATAGACTGTTCCTGATCCAGGCTGATCTAGTGATTCTAGTTTCCAGCATATTTGTCTACTGCTTATAGAATCACAGAACGTGTTGGGCTGGAAGGGACCTTTAAAGATCATCTAGTCCAATCCCTCTGCAGTGAACAGGGACAACTTCAACTAGATCAGGTTGCTCAGAGCCTCATCCACCCTGACCTTGAACGCCTCCAGGGCTGGAGCCTCCACCACCTCTCTGGACAACCTGTTCCAGTGTTCCACCAACTTCAGAGTGAAGAACTTTTTTCTAATAGAACCCAGTTATTCCTACCTGCCAGGTTGAATAATCTTGCATCGTTCTTCTCCAGGTTTTACTTTTCCTAGAGTTTACTCTGGAAAACACTCTGTCAGCTTCATTTCACGAGATCCATTTCTCTGAAACACTCCTGTAGTCTCTTTCTCCAAGTCAAGCTTTCTCATCTCCCCTTTCCTCTCCCCCTTCAGACTCAATCTATCTTTCTCACCTTTAGATAAGATGAGGTCCCAGAATTGCCTTACGCATTGACTGAGGCTCCTGTGTTTCACACACAGTCGAAGTCCAATTTAAATAAAAAATAAAAAATTCCCAGTCTTCGCACTTTCTGTTTCTGATTACTAACTGTCCAGTTATTTTACGGTATTCTGAGGTTTGACATAGAGTCTCTCTTATGCCAAAACCTTTAGGCAGCAAGGTTTTTACAGCTGTTAACTGTTTTTCTAGTTTTTACTGATCTCATCATGGTCATCTAGAAAACACTGTTCCTAGTAAACTGTTACGGAAGCAATTTTTCAGCTTTTTGCAATCCTAACCTTTCATCTTTCACCTAATAATTTGGCTGCGCATTTTAAAAATACCAGACAGATCTCCTCAGAAGTAAGGTAAATCACACCTCCCACATCAGCTGAAACGTCATTCATGTGAACACAAAGAAAGCAGCCCTAGTGACTTGAGCACAGGTGTTATACAACTTGTCATTTAAAAGCCATTTCAACAAGAGCATTAACAGAACTCCGAGCACCTCACAGCTGTTTTGCAGATTGGTACATCTATGACACCCAATCAACGTGGCTCACACAGGCACATAAATGAGATACAAGTTACTATGCTCATGGCACTGGGTCGGCTATTTTGACTAATCTTTTCAAATGAGGAGACATTCAGATCTACTTGTGTTCCTGTTTTGATATGCTGTGTACACAACATACCTTGGTTACACATGTGTTGTATTTTCAGGTCAAAATTTTTCAGATCAAAAATCTCTGCTTATTTCTTTGGCTTTTTACCTCAAGAATGATTATTTTCAAGCAGGATGGGAAAATAAATTTGGTATGACTTTTGCCTCTGATGGCAATTATTCAAGCAAAACAGTAGCATAAAAATAACTTCCAATAAAATATTTCACACTATGTCCATTATCGTCTAGGAGTATTTTGTAAAAGTTTCAGAATGTCTCCAGCCAAGGTGATTCCATAAATAATGCTTGCACAGTGGTTTCTAAGGTATCTTGTGTCTCCTTTGTGACGTAAGGTGGTTGTTATGGAGATGGTAAAATATCAACCATTCTTTGTGAGGCTGTGAGATCAATTCTGGATCTGTTACAGCAGCTTCTTTTCTCTGCTCAGCTATAATCAGTCTTCCTTAGCCACAGAAATAGATGTATAAAAAGTATAAAATGTTTTAAAACAAATGTTTGCATGATATTTTTAACTGTTTGACATACAGAAGTAGACCTGTGTGCATTTGTAAAAGATGCACATTCCATCCCAAATTCCCCAAAATTCAAATAAGTCTAATGGTCTTCGACAGAAATGAGGCTACAACTGTTATGAAGGTTTAATGACTTACAAATAAATAGACAACTCTTTTCATTCCCTGTAATTTGGAAATGTAGCAATGTTTACAAAAGTATTTTTTGTTTCTTAAAGTAGGGAGGGCAAAAATAAACATTCTTCACCTCAAATTTAGGGAAAGTATGTAAGGGACTTTTGTTCAACAGCGTGTTAAAATTTTTTACCTTCATGAAATAGAAGGAAAAGGATTATGCCTGGGAAGTAGTATGTAAAACTATGGACTAAGATACTTGCCTAGGCTGCCTGTAGATTATTTTTCTCCATTTTTAATCTACGCTAGACCATGAGTCTAAGTGTATAGGTCCCCAGACCATGATTAAGGTTAAAGTTCATGTAGCTGAGTCAGGGTTTTGTAGAGTCCTACAGCAAGACAAATGCAGGACTTCCACCTTCTCCTGCCAGTCTGTATTTCACGGCACAGACAAACACACAAAACATACAGTATTTGATTAGAAAGTCAAAAAATTTTGAAGGAGGCCCTCAGTTATTTGTAAGTTATCTGTACCTTTACAGAAACATTACAAAGAAGAAAAAAAATTAAGATTTTTAGAAATTCCTTTTGTATATTCTAATAGTACATTCATTTTACCAGACAGAAACACAACCATAGGGGAGGGAAGAAAAGAGACACATCTGCCATGTGGCAGTGGCAACAAAGCGTGCTCTGAAAGGAAAGGAGACAACCCAGATGGGAATGTTTGCCTACCTCAGGTGCCATCCAAAAGGGTGTTCCCACTGAGGTGTTTCTACGCAGCCGTGTGCTGGTGAGCTGGGCTGAAACACCTGCAATAGACCAAAAAACCTGCCTTCAAACTCATTCTTTCATTTCAGTCAGTTTATCTCAAGCATCTGGAAAACAAACCCCAAGTCAGAGAGTAGAGCTGCAGAACATGTAGCCAAAGCACATGCAGCATTTGTACTGAATTCTGTTTGCTTAATTTCAGCTTGCTGTTCTCCTTCAGAATTGCCAAGAGAGATTTTGTGAATGACTCTCAGTTTGAAGCACTTTAATTCAAACTCAAAAATTCAATTGGCACCCAAATATAACAGACTTTTCTGCTGTTTTCATGAGTATAAACAGGAACTATTCAGATTACAACTTAACTCCAAAACTTCTGTTTCAGAAATTCACTCCCTGAACACCACTGGCAAGAAACTTGCTCACTAGTGTATTTGGAGAGGCTCCTGTTCAACAAAACATATATGCATTTGCTTAAATCTTTCCC